TGTGTGTGTGTGTGTGTGTGTGTGTGTAGTGTGTGTGTGTACACATATTTACACATATAGTTTATATTTATATAAGTACATAATATTTATCGGTGTATTTGTGTTTAATTTAATATGTGTGTATTTAATCCATTATTTTGATAAAATAAAAAATATAATAAATGCCATTCATTGACGCATAGCAGTGGAGTTACGTTTACGTTGAAATTACATCAAAATTATAAAAACAAAAATATATATAAATATGCATAAATTATAACCAAATGTCCAGAATAATTAATATATAGGAAAATAAATGTTGTCCATAAAGAAAATTATTATAAATAATTAATTTTGTAATAAACAAAATAAAATATTTTGCTCAATTCATAATTATTTTGCTGTTGCCCAGCCTTCCAGGTTTTCTTTTCTTCTCAGATTCGTTTGTTGCGCTCACTCGCAATACTGGCGAAAAAAAAAGTTAATTACGATTGCGCGTTTGAATCACCAGAATAGAATAAATGCTCTGCATTTTGCACGATATTTTGTACTGGATTTTCGACGTTATCACACGCGATGCACGGTTTAGTATTGTATATTGCGATGGCATTCCATTCGCAATCGCGAAAGTAACATGAGAAAAATATAAAGCTTTATGAATTGCTCAACAACTATAAATTGCGCAAATTTTCACAAATTAGCACAAGTAAAACGTCAGCGGAAGGATTCGACAAATTACGATACATATAAACGTCAAATTAATAACATGCGGTTAAGAAGTATTAAAATATAAATCTAATTATAACTTTATTTATTAATTAACATATCGTAATAAACATATCGTGATATGTCAGATTCAAACTCATTATCACAACGTTAATACAAATCAACAAAAAATTCAAAGCATACAAATTTATATCATATGAATAAATCATCGAAATAGTTACTTGCGAAATAAATAATTAATAAATTCATAAGTTAGTAATTACGGAAGTTGATTAATTGTATGATTGTTTGTAGAAAATAACCGCGTAATTTCTTTGATATGTGATAAGTTTTGAATAGTAATACTACGATTGCATGGAGCGATAATCGATCGGAGTTTCGAATAGTAATACTATGTTTGCAAAACTTGCGCAAATGACGATGGTACGCAGCGATCATAGCTGCCAAAACAAACCTTACGATTGTACACGACTTGCAATTTAATTTTTCATAAAATATTTATTGTATTACAAAATAAACACTAGACTAGTATTTTATTTCTTAAATTTCAAATTAATTTTTAATATATATTTCTTATAACTTTTTATTTCTTATAAGTTTTTGATATTTAAACAATATAGTTTCATGAAGATATTTATTACTTTAATAAAAAATATATTATTTATTATTTATTATTTATTAATATATTATTAATATATTATTTATTAATATATTATGTTATTATACTATAATAGCAGTGTAGTTTTGATTATATTGAAATTCCCAAGCTTTCTCTTTCCTTCAAATTCGTTCCACTCATACAACATTCACAATGTTAATTGCAAGCGATACATATTGTTATATTATTATTTTACGCTTTTAGAATCAAAACGCGAAAATAATGCAAAGGAAAAACTTACTTTAATGCGAGAATAGAGAATATATTAAAATAATAAAAAGAAACAGCGGCCAATCTCGACAAGCAGGATTTTAAGCGCCTAATAATTTCTTTCTTTCTTTAAAATTTAATTTGCTCAATATTGACGATTTTTTTCGCTCATTTAAATTTTCATTTCGTCTACAAATTTGTTTCGATTTTTATATTATTTTACATTTTTAATTCGGAAATGATGAGAACAGATTACACTTAAATTAGTGAAATTAAAGCTCGATGCAAGATTTAAGCATCATCAAATTGATTTTCTCTCGCGCATATTTAATAATTACGATAAAATAATATCTTATAGTTCTCATTTTCTATCGCTTCAATTTTTAAGTAAAATAAATTTGCAATCGTTAATTGTGGGAGTTAAATAATTTTGCGGCTTGATATTTCAGTTATATAATTGTTTGTAGCAAATAACTACGTTTGGTTTCTCTTCGCACTTAATGTGATTACATTTCAATTGCATTTCAATGCGTAATACCGTGATACGTGGAATGACACATCTCCGAATCTCGATGTCGAATAATAATACGACATGCAGTGACTTCTGTAGGAAGTCGTGCGTTAATAAATAACATATGCTATTTGACCGCACGCAAAACGCAGCAAGAACATGACACTAATACACTGATAGTCCCATTATTACAAAATATTATTCAATACTTTTTTTACAAAATAATTTAATGCTAAATATCCGATTCCTTATATTTTTAAATAATATTGATATTATAATATATTTATGCATTTCGTTTTTTTGATTTGTCTCATCTAAAATAATAGTTAATTTTGACTAAACAAGTGTCTTGAAAAAAATTATTATTTAAATAATAATTAATGAGAGAATTTGCTCATTATATGTATGTAAATATATATTACCATCAATAAAATTTAACTGGTACATCAATTAGAATGATCTTCTTATTTAAATAAAATGTAATTAATATTTACTTATCGACATAATATTTAAAGAAATCAATTAAATCTGTAAATTGAATAAATATTATTTTTAATATCGTCAATGTATATTCATCAACATATTGCTGATATATTCATATTAAGTTTAGAAAAGCATTAAAAGCAAAATAATCTCGAATATTATAATTCTAACAATTTCTTATGCTTCTCTCCTCTTTTCTGGCCTCGCTAATCATAATTGTGTTTTATTTAATAGGAAGAAATTGAAACTTTTGCGAAATATTTCGCTGGTGAAATCCCATTAATGCGAAATGTGCCTCCATCATCAAAAATACATGCGTGTTTGGTTTCGAGTAAAAAAAAATAAATCGAGGGTGACTGTTACTTGCTTCATCGTGTTCGTTTTCCGGGTAATTTGAGATCCCAAGACACTCTTATTGAATACGTGCAAATGTGCACTACGCGTGAACAAGTTAAATAAAAGTAAAACAACGTTGAAATGGAGGTCTATATTGAAGGAAATTGAGACTGAGAAATCGAAGTAATACGTAATAAGTAATAACGAGATACAAATAATCTATAAATTTTTACAAGAAATGAAAGGAAATATATGTATAAATTTAACATATATTTAAATTTATGTATAAACAAATTTAAAAAGGTTTTGTTAAAAATTGTTGTAGAGATATAATTAGAGATTGTAGAAATCTAATCAATATAGGCGAGTCTTTAAAAGTAGCATTTAAAACTTCATACATTTCGAATTGTATTTTTGTAATCAAACATGTATTGCGCAAACGTTTTCTTACTGTATTCTTAGAGTAAAAATAAATCTTTAATAATTTATTGGAAAAAAGATTCGAGAAGTATAGCTATACTTCTTGTTAAATATTTTGCGCAGAGGAAAAAATGTTATAGAGAATAACTGCAAATGATGCTTTTATAGTTATTACGAGAATTAACGAAAACGAATACAGATGAATGCAATTCCGACCCTCGTCATAATTTTTTCGCTGTAAACGTGTCATCGTATAATTTCTTTACGATCCTCTACGGAGTTATATTAATTGCTACGGAATCGTTGCTGTCGTAAACACGAGCTGATAAATCACCACCGAAGCGTTAATCGATAACTTTGATAGCGTGCTAACATGAAGAAATGCGATAATGTGAGCAAAATGGAGCAACGTAGAAATTATTCTCTACGATTATAGGAAAATTAGTGAAAATTGTTTCTGTATTCGCGTTTAGTTTGTCGCAATCAGAAACACATTTTCTCTTCTTCGACTGGCTTTCTTCGACTTCGCTAACTTGACAAGTGTAGTTGTACAAAAATAATTTTCCGTTGAAACTCTTCGCTTCTCTGTAGAGGAGTATTTACCTTATCGAGACAAGTATCATGGCGAATATCAGGTACTTTCCAAGCAATGGCACAACCAGTGATGTCGGCGGGATGATTTCGACGACCAGCAGGAAAAACACATGAAGACTGATGAGAATCGAGATGGAAAGCGTTACCTGAAATGGCAGACATTTGTTAAAATAGTTTCGATATATAAGAAATAAATGGAATATTAAAAGTTTGCTTCTTTAGAAATAAGCAGATTTATTCTAGAGACAATAAAAAAGAATTATAAAATGACT